AAGAGTGTGAGAGAGGTAGAGGGAGACAGGAGGAAGCAAAGGTGTGAGGAACAGGATAACCATTCCGCAAGTTTCTTGCGGGTCTCCACTTGTCTATATACTAATAGTCAAGTGTCCCCAGTGCGTGTGGATACTTATTTCTGCAAATTGGGGGCACATGGAGGCTCAACAGAAATTCCTGCACACTTGAGGCATTACTAAGGTGTGCAGAAAAATCTAACATATTTAAAAATATATACGGGGATACTTAAATCCCCAAAGAACAGTGTTCTCGCGCATGTATGGAGAATGGACTTGCCGTTTGGAACTGTGGAGGAGCTCGCTGCTGGCAGCTGCGAGGGAGCCGGAGGAGCCTTGGCGGGGGGGGGGGGGCGCAGGGCTCGCTGCTGTTCCTGTGGGGGGGAGAAGCTGCGGCGGGCAGCAGGTGGGCAGCCGGGAGCCATGGAGGGCTTGCTGCCATTGCTGCTGGAATCACCTGCAGCAGCTGCCTCCTCCTCAGTGAGGACCTACTCCTGCTTTGCAGGCCATGGGCCATACTCTCCCCCCCCCCGTGAGTATTGCAGGTCCCGCTTCTTGTATTGTATATTTGACACACGATAAAGCCAGACTGAGCAACAGTCCAGTAATTTCCATGGAGACTACTAGCAATAAAGCAAACCAGGAGCAGAGAAATAAAGCGATGTACCTCTGTGCCAAAAACTCTCCTCTTTACACTCTCGACGGATCCTTTCAATTTCTTGAATATTAACATTTGAAGCTGGAAAACTGTGCAGATGCTGAAAACAAAGATAGATAGTTTTAGAAGGGTAACCAGGGTGAGTTATAAAGAGGGAAAGATTTCATTTATTCTCCCCACCCCCTTATCATCTTCATGTACCTTGCTGGTCTAGTTAAGGCTTTTGCATAATTAAAATAAAATGTTTGCATTAAATGTAACTAAAAGAAAATAAAGAGGAGCATGCTCTGTCCTGTAAAGCCTGCAAAACCATTTGAAAGAATCTTAACACGTAATTAGTGAAGCAATCAAACATGCGTGTCCCAAATATGAATACATAAAGCTGCCTTATATGACGTTGGACCACTGGTCTGTCAAGGACAGCATTGTCTGTCCTAGCAGGCGGATGCTCACTAGAGTCTTGGACAGAAGTCTTGCATATCATCTACGACTACTACCTGATCCTTTTAGTTGGAGATGCTGCAGACTGAATGTGGGATCGTCTGCACACAAAGCAGGTACTCTACCACTAAGCCACGGCCCCACCCAGTGAATCGATACAGAACACGTATCAGGTCCCTGGAGAAACAGCGCATAAACTCCCTAAATAAACACATCATAAAATTTTAGCGCATATGAGGACCATTCCTCTCCCACCCCTGTATTTCTCATTGTTATTAGGGAGTGTGTAATTATCAATTTATCTTTAAGTGCACTGATTTCTTTTACTGTCTGTAAGTACTATCACCTTCAGATACTACAACTCTCCCCTCTCGCCACATCCTAATCGTCTACGTGGTGATGGAAAGCGCCGTTAAGTTGCAGCCGACTTATGGCGACCCTGTTAGGGTTTTCAAGGCAAGAGGCGTTCAGAGATGGGTTTGCCGTTGCCTGCCTCTGGGTCACGGCCCTGGTATCCCTTGGAGGTCTCCCACCAGGCAGAGTCAAATCCAGGGCTATTTTTCGGTAGGAACGCACAGGAACGGAGTTCTGGCTGGCTCCTGAGTTGACCACGTCCAGCAGGAACTCATTAGCATAATAGGCCACACCCAACAGCAGGAACTCATTAGGATTGGCTACATTAGGAGTGTGTGGCCTAACATGCAAAGGAGTTCCTGCTACAAAAAGGGCTCTGGTTTGACAACAAACAAGGTAAACAGAATAAGAAGCAAAAGGTGGGTGTGGCTGGATAACCACACTTCTGGTAACATGGGGGTGCAGCAGAGGTCATTTCGGGGGGGATGACACACTTCCGGTGATGTCAGGGGGTGTGGCATATGCTAATGAGTTATGCTAATGAATTCCCCTAGCTCTTTTTCCACGAAACGACCCCTGGGGTGCAGCCTAATATGCTAATGAGCTGTGCTGTCAGGGGTGTGGCCTAATATGCTAATGTGTTTCTGCTCTTGGGTGTGGCCTATTATGCTAATGAGTTCCTGCTGGACTTTTTCTACAAAGAAAGCCCTGCAAATCTACTTCGCTTCCGAGATCTGATGGCAGGAAAATGCAAAGTACTTACTTTACAAGCTCTTACAGACTTTGCATGGAGCTAAACTCAGCCCTAGGGTCCATTAGGGACATCACCTTCTACCACTTTGCATGAGAGGCAGAGATGCCCTGCCACGACCACACCTTGTGTTCCCATTATCAGTGTGCCAGACAGCAAAGCTCTTACAACCTTGTGCTGTCACAGAGGCCTCAGCCCCAACATAAATCTCAGACTTTGCCTAAGAATGAACAATAGCAACAAACCTGGTCCTTTTGGTCAAGGGAAGAGGCCTGAACTTTCTGATCGTCCGGGATAGAAGCCATAGTCACCGGGAAGGGGGGGGATCAACCTCAGCCAAACCAAGAGTCCTAAAATAAAAAGGGTTAAACCTCCATTTTAAGACAGTTTCATAAATTCCATTGTTGCTTTTACCATGCTGACATACCTATCTCCCATCACATCAGACCATCTAACGCCCATACGGTCTATTCTACGCTGGAATTCACACATGCCAGTAGAAGTGTTTTTTAGTCCTCCTCACTTGTTTGGGTGTTGTGTGTGTAACAACAGAAACACCTGTATCAAATTGCCTGATTACTTGATAGCCACTCAGGTGCTTTTGTTATGGTGTTTCATTGGACACAGCAGGTTTTTTTTATGGTTCTAGAAGTCAGCTTGAGAATAATTATTTGTAAAGAAGCATTTCAGTGTTAGAATGCACAAAATAAGCCCCATCTGCTACATTTCTATAGGGCACAAGACTGAGGGCAGTAAAAGATCACAACCACACTGCTGGGCCACACTGTGTACCCAGCCATGCCGACTGTCTTGAAGGAGGATAAGATGCAATGGTGATAAATACATTTGCAGTCAGGCTTGAGGTTCACCTCTTCTCATGTCAGAGAAGGAGTAACTGGATTCTTGTCTTTGTGAGTAATCCACTCTTCCAATTAGACTCAGTGCCTGCCTAACCACACATGGCGCTATGTTCACCTGTGCCGGCAGGTCACGCAGGACAGCCATGTTTAGGTAGTGAAGACCAGGAAAAGAAAGTCAGTAGGTGGGACTACTCTACTCCCCCCTCTCCCGCAGACCCTTCCGTGTCTCACTGCATGGGAAACGCCAACAGAAGAAACGAAAGTAGCGTCCACCAGTATTAACAGGAGGGAGAGGCGGCATGAAGAAAGGGAGATTTGTGTGCGCCGATTTCCGGGTGCAAACTTTTTTTCTCGAAATTATTTGCCAAGCCGGCGGGTGGGGGGAGGACTAAGCAACGGAGGGAGCGATTTGCATCAGGGAAACACGGAGGAGGAGGGAGGGAGAGGTCTTAACCTTCTCGGTCTCTTCCCCCCCCCCCCCTCCCCCCCCGCCTCCATTTTGATGTTGCTCTCAACAGCTACACGCTGCAATGCTTCACCAACGATTTATGCAGATAATAACAGCAGCGCGCTGTCCCTAAACATTTTAAAAATGAAAAATAAAATAAAGTGCAGAGCGGCGCCTTGTTCGCTTTTAGCGGGCTCAGACCTGGAAAGTACTTTTGAGGCTCGGGCTGAGTCACGCAGAGGGCAGCAGCACCCTCGTTTTCCACGCGCACCCACGCGAGCGGGGAGGCCTCTCCAGTCAGTAGAGCCGCGTGCAACCCCGGCGTGTATTTTAGAACATTACGCGCTACTCTCGGGACACTAGTATTGAATTGGCTCACCGCAGGCGTCCTCCGCAACCCGTGCTGCTCTTCCTCCCAGGCGCAACTCTTTCCTCGCGCTGCCTCGCCTTCCCTCTTCTGTTTCGAGGGCGCCGTCGACTTCTCTCCTCCCCAGCCGGAGGGCGGACGTATTCCAAAGATCAGCGCTTTTAGCCGGGTAAACAGACCACTCCGTCTAGGCCCGGTTATGCAATGCGATGTGTTCTCTAAAGGTGGAGCCTGTAACTGCTATTGTGCAGGGAAAGCTGTGCGTGTATTTTAATGAACATTTCTCGGGCAAAAAAAAAGGCTAGTTTATTTTAAGCTGCAAAAAGGTGTCCTAATGAGGGACATGCACGCTCATCTCAGAAGCAGTTCTAAAAGCTGTGCTTCGGGAGTGGGCTTGAGGATTTGTTTCCTGTGTGGCATTTCTGGTTCACTGGGGGCACTATGCCTGCAGGTAGGTAAAAGTAAAGGTTCCCTTGCTCAAAAGCCAGTCGAATCCGACTCTAGGGTTGCGGTGCTCATCTCCGTTTCAAAGCCGAAGAGCCCGCGCTGTCCGAAGACGTTTCCGTGGTCATGTGGCCGGCATGACTAAACACCAAGGCACACGGAACGCTGTTACCTTCCCACCGAAGTGGTCCCTATTTATCTACTTGCAATTTCTTGCTTTCGAACTGCTAGGTTGGCAGGAGCTGGAACTAGAGACAGGAGCTCACCCTGTCTTGCGGCACCCGGGTCTTGAACTGCAGAACTACTGACCTTCCACAGCCTGCAGTTCAGCGTCTTAACCACTTGAGCCACTGCAGCCAAAGAAGAGCCAAAGAAGAGCTGAAGCTCCCCCTTTGATGCTAGAACGGACACGCATCTCACTTGTTGGATTTTCGCCTTTTATCCAGTTGCTTGCTCACTGACTGGCAAGTAGGGTTGCCAGCCTCCAGGTGGGGCCTGGGGATCTCCCGCTTTTACAACTGATCTCCAGCTGACAGAGATCAGCTCCCCTGGAGAAAATGGCTGCTTTTAAGGGTGGACTCTGTGGCCTTGTACCCTGCTGAGGCCCCTCCTCTCCCAAACTCCTCCCTCTCCTGGCTCCACCTCCAAAGTCTCCAGGTATTTTCCAACCCAGACCTGGCAACCCTACTGGCAAGTCTAGAGTACCATAAACCACAGGCAGCAAACAGAACCCCTCTGGTTTGCCACACTCTCTGAACAGCAAAAGTGAAGGCAGCAAAAGCACAATGCCTATCTAGGCATATTTAGTTGGAAATACGGTCCTCAGTGTAGTTTACTACCAGACTTGAAGAATTAGGGTTACCAGTGTGTTACACAAATCTGTGTCCTGTGTCTCCAGTTCCAATGATGAAGCTGTAATGTATCCAGCCCAGACATGTCCAGACAAGTCCATAGACAAACATCTAGCTTCGCTCCAAGAGTCAATGGACTATGCGGATCCTAGCCCACTCCAATCAGGGCTAGGTTCCTGGCCGAGAGCCAATGGGACTCGGCCACTGTAAATAACCTATTGGGAAGTGGGGTGTATGTGTTTTGGGTGGCGGTTTCTTGGAGAATATAAGCCGGCCTGCTAGCTGGCCAAAGTCGTCTTGTTCCTGATCGAATAAAGTACGCTTTGCTGAAATCACTCTCCATCTGCGTACTTTTCAGAAGCACACAGAGTCCAAACAGAGAAGATTTGCCAAGCTTTTATTGGAATAGAAGGGAGCCCCTCAACTCATGAAATCAAGTCAAGGCGTTCAACTGAGTAACACTGGGTTACATCTTTTAATTTATACCTTCTGGTGATCCTCCCATTATGACATGTCAAGACCTTCCCTATGACATCAACCAGGCATGCTCAGTTGAGATTTCTTTGTTTAAGATATGGAGCATGCATACTCATAATCTCTTTCTTCTTGGTACATGCGTACGGTAACCAAAACGTTTCAAACTATGCTTCAAAATCATGTCTCAGACATTTAGATGTCTTTCAGTGACCAAAGCATTGTTACGAGTCTTAGGCCGTGGGCACGCAGTCATTTTGATCAGGTTTCACTACTGTTCCCTCTCGCATTTAAATTTGCTGATCAGATGCCCACCACATCTGTCTCCTGCACCGAAGTGGGCTCTCTCACGCAATCCTCCCGGTTCCCTAGCAAGTTTTCCATCACCTGGAAAATCAAGTACTTTCCGGATAGTTGTGCTTTGAATCCGCAATTTCGCCAATCTGGACAGCCATCTCTCGCAATGATCATGATTAGGTTGTCTGAATGTCCTTCTCGCAATGTGTTTCCCTCCCTCCCCCCTCCCCGCTTCTGCTGTTGTGTGCATGAGCAACCCTGTGCTGAATATATTCATTTCATGAAAGTTCAAGTGCACATAGACTTCTTCCTCTCCTCTCTCACGTCCCCCCCCCCATCGGTCCCTGGATTTCTTTTTTTCCAGAGGTTTCCAGGGAGGCTCCTCTTGCCAACCGGCTTCCTTCTCTGCCGGGTCTGATCCATCCCGCCCTACGAAAGAACCTCCACCTGGAAATCTGCCCCGCAGATGACTGGTCGACTGCCCCAGGACAGCCCCTCCCTCTCTGCAGCGGGCTTGGAGCAAGGGGTGGCGTGACGCCTCCAGTAGAGGAGTATTCTGGAGGCGGGCACTTTTGTCCAGGTGTCCTTCCCTCGCTCCCAGACCCCACCTCCCCCAGCACTGGCTCTTCTGAAGCAGAAGGGGGGGGGGAGACACTCACAAGCGGGCATCTTTACTGTGACCCCACTTTCCTTTGATAATCAGTGCTATACTGCCTCTGTCCATGGAAGCTCCACTGTGCGTTCGTGGCTAACAGTTGCTATCTGAACGGTGCCTGAAGCCTTGTCGCGCAATACAAGCATATGGAGCAGAGGTCCATCAGTGGCTATTAGCCACAAGGTATAGATAGGAACTCTCAGTCTGAGGCAAGTGATGCACTGTATTCTTGGTGCTTGGGGGCGGCAACAGTGGGAGGGCTTCTAGTGTCCTGGCCCCACTGCTGGACCTCCTGATGGCACCTAGTATTTTTGGCCGCTATGTGACAGTGTTGGACTGGATGGACCATTGTCCTGATCCAACATTGGCTTCTCTTATGTTCTTAAGCAGTTCGGGGAGGGATGTGTGATCATCCCAACCCGCAAAAAGATATCCATGATCTAAAATATAGCGGGAACTACTGGACTCAAATCATTTTCCACGGTTTTGCAGAAAGTGAGCCTTCCCTAGAATTACTGTAGCTGTTTCCTCGATGAAAGCAAATTGTTGGGAGCTGTTTTGTCCTCTTGTTGATGTTGCATCTACAGAAGATGTCACTCCTGCAGCTGAATGAAAAAGAGGCATGTGTGAGCAAAAAGACAGGAGTTACAGTTTTGAAACAAAGTGAGCAGCAGAGAGACAGAGCTGTGCCAAAGCAGCTACTGGCAAGGTATTGCCCTTACCAGGAACATGCACATGTATTGAATAGAGGTTGTATACGGTGGGAGATTGAGTAGAGTGGCTGGGTCTAGTACGTGGAGACTGGAAGCCCCACCACCAACTTTTAAGCTCATGAATCAGCCACCCAAGTCATTGTGTGATTTATTTATTTTATGTTATATATTAAAACTATTATTTATATCTTATATTTACTTAATTTATTTATACCCTGCCTGTTTCCCCAATGGATGCCCGAAGCAGCTTACATTGTTCTCCTCCATTTTATCCTCAAAACAACCCAGTGAGGTAGGTTAGGCTGAGAGTGTGTGACTGGCCCGAGGTCACCCAGTAAGCTTCCATGGCAGAGAAAGGACTTGAATATGGGTCTTCTAGGTCCTGTTGTGACACTCAGACCCTGTTGTGACACTCAGGTCCTGTTGTTCATAATTTACCCTTGCAGATAAAACACACTTTCAGGCAACTTGTTTCTTAAGCATAGGATGTATAGACATCTTAACCCCCACCAGCTACTACCATTTAACTCAAATCAAGCTGAGAGTCTGGCCTCTTAAGCCTTCTGGCCAAACCTTTTCAACCAATTAACAATGGGCATTCTCAGGCTCATCGTCTCTTAGCTGTGCAAGTGGAAAGACTGTCCACTAACTGACCCAATCATTTGTGACCCATTTGGATTCCTCTGTCTCCTGTAAATAGAACAAAGTTTGAGTCCAGTGGTACCCTTAAGACCAACAACATTTTATTCAGGTTATAAGCTTTCATGTGCAAACACACTTCAAGAATTTTGAATTTTCTTGGTCAAAGGTACCACTTTGTCATGCTGCTTCAGACCAACACGGCTACCCACCTGATCCTATAAATAGAGTCAAACTTGTGGAAGGCATACAGAAAACTGCTTGCTTGCTTACAAGAATTGTGAAGTAGCTCCATTACTTGACAGACTCCTTGGAGGCCTACGTATTTTATAGACCTGAAAATCAGTTCTAGAAGTAAAACTGCCCCATTTTTACTTCATGACTTTACCTTAAATATCAACGTTTTATATGGAACTGTGACTTACAGTTTATATATACTTTACTGACAGGGCTCTTTTTGTAGAAAAAGCCCAGCAGGAACTCATTAGCATAATAGGCCACACCCAACAGCAGGAACTCATTAGCATATTGGGCCACACCCCCTGACAGCACAGCTCATTAGCACATTAGGCCACACCCACATGTTACCAGAAGTGTGGTTATCCAGCCACACCCACCTTTTGCTTGTTATTCTGTTTACCTTGTTTGTTGTCAAAACCCAGGGCCTTTTTTTGTAGCAGGAACTCCTTTGCATGTTAGGCCACACACCCCTAATGTAGCCAATCCTAATGAGTTCCTGCTGTTGGGTGTGGCCTATTATGCTAATGAGTTCCTGCTGGGCGTGGCCAACTTGGGAGCCAGCCGGAACTCCGTTCCTGTGCGTTCCTGCCCAAAGATAGCCCTGACTTTACATAGGATTCAGTCATTTCTCTGAGAGGGTGCTCCAGTAGAGACTGAAGGGTGGGAGTGGGTATGCGAGATTACAGGGCATCTAGAATGAAAAAGCATCTGCACAGATGCTAGGCTCCATCATCTTGTCAAAACAGAAGAGGTGGGAACAGCATATATAGCATCTCATGCCATGCTCTGGCAGGATCAGGTAAGGCAACGGAAAGTCAACAGGCTTTAATGACCCATGTATAATATCTTCCCCAGATGACCTGTTATTCATACTGAAACGCAGCTACGGCAACCCCTGGTAT